TGAAAAAAGTGTGTGTGTGTGTGTGTGTGTGTGTGTGTGTGTGTGTTGGCGTTGGCGGGGGATTTTTTGTGCTGGTTTTTTTTTTTGCTCAACCAAAATTGCTGTGGGGGCCCCGTCAAAATTGTTTGAATTGGGCCCCGCACTTTCTAAAGCTGGCCCTGTGATTGGCGTTGGCGGGGGATTTTTTGTGCTGGTTTTTTTTTTTGCTCAACCAAAATTGCTGTGGGGGCCCCGTCAAAATTGTTTGAATTGGGCCCCGCACTTTCTAAAGCTGGCCCTGTGAACAAGGATGCGTGTTACTATGAATTGGTGTCCACTGACAGATCCCTGCGCCGCCATCCTGTGTGTGCATCTGTGCAGTGCACAGCTTCTGGAGTGGCTATTGATAACGCTGTAGCCGTCTAGCCCCATTTAGCCAGGGCGCTACCAATGGACCCTCGCTCCCGTGTATGTTATGGGTGGGACTGGCCAGCCCTTAGGGCAGCGGTTCTCAAACGTTTTGGCCTGCTGCCCAGCCTGCTCAATGCAGACCTTTCCGCAGACCACCAGCCAACCAGCCATGATGACAAAACGGGTGCCAGAGGGGGTCTGGCTGGGAGGCAGGGGGCTAGTGTGGACTGAGGTGTGGGGTCTCGGAGGGAGGGAAGGATGGTTCAGGAGCAGGGTGGGGATGCAGGGTCTCAGCGGGAGGGGGTGTGTGATGGGGGATGAGGATACAGAGTCTGGATATAAGGGGAATGGGGGCGCTTACCTGGTTCTGTGCCCCAGGAACCGCCCCATGCTGCTCCCATTGGCTGTGATTCTGGCCAATGGGAGCAGTGGGGAAAGCCTCCAGGTGAGTGGTTTTCTGCATGGCTGTTTCCCCAGCTGGAAAACTGGTGCTCTAACCCTGCAGGTAGGGGGGTGAGGTGGAGGCAGGGGCATGGGGCTAGGGCAGTCTTTCTCAACCTTTTTTTCTAAAGTACCCCTTTAAAAAAATGAAATCAGAAGTACCCCAGTACCTACAGTTTTCAGACACAGAACATTTTTCTACCATTGCAACACATTTGTTTAAACAACTTAATCAGAGCCAGGCGAGCGATGAAACGTTTGGATGTAAAAAGTACAATAATAATAAAGCGCTGGAAAACTTACAACAAAAATTCAGTTTTCTCCACATGTCAGTTGTGTTGACGCACCCCAGACTTCTCTTGAGTACCCCTGTGACGTAGTGGGGGTACCTGGCTGGTTTCTATGCTGCTGGCTCTGGGGTAACCCCCACTGGCTGCCGTGGGTACCATGACCCAGCAAAACAGGATGAGTCACTATGCAAACCAGTATGGCCAGACACCCCCCATGGAGAGGAACAAAGGAAGGTGGAATGCTGCCCTGGCTGGGGGGCAGGGCTGGAAGAGAGTTAGTTAGTTGCTGTCTGTGAGCATGGAGGAGACAGCCTAGGGAGAGGGGCTGGAGTTTAGGGGCCCAGTCTCCCCCCAACTCAAGGGGGCCTGAGGCATCCTAGCCCAGCTCTGTGACCAGATTTAAGGGAATTGCACTCAAGCAAAATTAGTTTTACCTATATACATAGCACTATAATAGCTCTGGGTGTACTCTGGTTTCTACATGAATAGTTCCAGCAAAACCAAAACTACCGATTAGTCCTTACATTAAACAGGTGTGAGGGCTAATAACCCACAGAAGAACCAGTCCAAGACCACACAAAAATCCTTACTGACGTGACACGCAACTGAGAAGCAAAGACATTCCTCACATTCCCCTTGCCCACCAGAGCCCGGAGGGGGAGGGGGGAAAGGGGCAGCTTAGATTTTTGGTGGAGTAGCAGGGGGGCTGGAGCACCAGCACAAGCTCCCTGCTGCAGGGGGGAGTGAGCTTCGAGCCCGCGGCCCACCTGGAAGACAGTCACAGACCACCCTGAGAACCACTGCCCTAAGGGTTCAACGGGACGTCTCCCGGGGAGCACCCTGCCCTGAGTCTCCCTCCACATGCCTTGGGAAAGCGGTCGCCTGGCGACTGAGAGGCGGCTCCTGGGGAAGCGTTTGCGATGATTCCAGATCCAAGATGGTCCAGTGGCTGGGAGTTCCGCTGGACCGCCTTCTTCTAAATGGCATGAGTCACATGCGGGGCTCACTGTGATGGCGCGTTGAGGATACCGCCCCCCCTCCACATCCTGCACCCTGTCTGCAGCCAGGTGAGACTCCGCCAGCCAGTAGAATAGAGCTGGTTCATTGCTTCCCCAGGATACAGCACAGCACAGACAGAATGTGGACATAAGGAGTCGGGCTGGCAGTCCCTTGGGGTAGGGGTGGACAGGCCCCTGACCCCTCCGTACTCAGCTTAGTCTGTTCTCTCCATTTCATCCCAGCCAAACACTGCCCAGCTCCCAGGCCCTGCCCCCCAGCCAGGTGGCCGCCTCTGCCTCCCTCCCTTTGTCTCTTCCCCAGGAAGAGCCTTGTTACCTGCTCAGGCTGGGCCTAGGTGCCTGGGCCAATCCACGTGTGGGGGAGTCAGTGGGAATCACAGCACAGCGCGGGGGGACCCGGGTCACAGAGCAGACAGCCCCCCCGCGTCACACTCACGCACTTCCTGAGCCCACCCGACTGTCCTGGGAGCTTCTCCTGGTGCTCGTCTGATGCTGACAGTTCCCAGGCCCGTAATCGCTTTGGCCTGTTGGTTATCCCGGGGTGAGGTAAGAGCCTGGAACAGCCCTGTGCACAGCTGCCCTATGACAGGCCCAGGCTGAGCTGTGACCCTGGGCCGTCGGTGCCACTTTCCGGTGCAGACAAGCCCCGAGTGGTTTGCGGGAGGGAGTTTCTAGCTGGAAGAAAAGCCTGAAGCACAAAACTGATGGGGCTGAAATTGGGAGCCGAGCTGCGTGCTGGGGATGCCCCGGGACAGCAGAAAGCTGCATGTGCACTGGCTTGCTTGGGTGCTGAGCGGCTCTGGTCGGTAGGGAGGGAGGTGGAGCTATTTACGGCAGCCTGGCAAACCCATTCATGGGCAGAGAGCAAATAGAGAGTCTGCCCTTCTTTGGAGCGCTTGTTCCAGGCCTGCACTCCCCAGCCTGCAGTCTCTCTCCATCCCTGCAGATGGGCAGCAAGCAGCCAGCTTGGCCCGGAGGAGGGAGCCCTTTGTGAGAAGTGCTGACCGGCCAGGCCAGTCCTGCTTCCCTGCAGTAGCCCTTTGCTCCCCGGGGGAAGGGCAGCCAGCAGGGTGTGCCTGTCTCAGCGGTAGGGAGAGAAGAGCAAAGGGAAGAGCTCAGCCAGACGGCAGTGCTGAGACCCGGACAGGCAGGACAGGGCGATTGTCCCCCTGGGAGTAAGGTTGTGTCCACACGGGGAAGGTTTGGTGACAAAAGCGCTTGTTGACCTGCAAAAGTTAGCGAAAGTGAAAACTGGTCAAATTGTTTTTTCTGCCTCCCATTGTTGACATTTCATGGCCACGTGGCTCGCTCCCTGTCCAAAGAGAGCACAAAGCATTGTGGGTAAGCAACCCACAGCGCAGTGCCGTGGGAAGGCAGAACTGATCCTGACGCTTCTTGGAGTTCCCTTGTACTCACGCACAGACGCCAGCCTCTGACTGGTCGCTCTGTCCCGGAGCAAGTCAGCAGAGCCTGGGAGCTCTGAAAGGGGCATGCCCATGCCTGCAGGGCAGACAGCTGAGTTCCAAAGAGCAGAGGCGACTTGAGGGATTATGGGCCATTTCCCAAGGCCGGTCTCAATGCAATCAACAATTCAAGTGTCCACACTGCCCCACAGTGCTGTATCCAGAATGCAGCAAGCTCTACGCGTCTCACCGAGGGGGTTTACCTAGAGCGCAGCAACCTCAAGCAAGTGCCACCCAGTGCCTTGCCGGGGTGGGCGCCTGGGGTGACAGCGCTGGGAGCTGAGTTGCTGTGCAGGGACCTGCCAGTGTCGACTGTCGAATCAGCATCAGGGGGATTTCGTAAGGC